CTCAAAAAAAAAAAAAAAAAAAAAAAAAACAGGTGTCACCCATGAATTTAGCTCATGAGCAGAAAGTATCAAACATAAAATTTCTTGCAGCTTATTTTCTCCATATAGCACATAGAAAGTTACTTTGAGATCAATTATGGGTCATATTTTAGTTATGGAAATGTGAAAAATAAATATACCTGTGTCTTAGAACTGACCAAACAGATTTTTTTCTGAGTGATGAAGTGATTGTGGGATGTTAGGTTGTATTTTTAGATTACATTAAAAATGTTATAAATGGGGGAACCAGCAGTTAGCGTAATGGCTGTGTCGCTGGACTCCCACGTAGTCGACCGTGGTTCGTGTCCCGGACCCGGTGGCTTAAAACTCACGCCGGGCGTGTGTGCGTGCGTGCTCAGGATCCCGAGAGGAGAATGGAGGAGAAGGGATTGCGGCATGACCATCCCCCCTGGGGGGTGATTTCTCGCTTTCTGTCTCTATGTCTCTCTCTGTCTGTCTGGCGAGCGCACGCGCCCTACAGTGAAAATCTCTCAAAAAAAAAATGTTATAAATGGTAACTATAAAAATCCTCTTATAGTATTAAGTCACGTAAATATAAGTTATTTTGAAGTTTTCATTTGTTAGGGAGCAATAGAAACTCCATGCTTCCAGAACAGCATGGATTTATAAACTTTGTATAAGTGAATGGTTGCTTAGGGAACATGGTGCAAACGCAAAGAGTGTAACTCTCCTTGCAACGACAGGAGGTTACTTAGATGAGTGTGTTATCTGATGGTCTGTGGTGGACTGGCAATACTTTTTATAACCGAGGTCAATATACCCCAAAGATATAATTCCTATTACTATTGTTAAAAAGTGTTTCTTTTCTAAAAAGCAACACGTTCCTTCCTCCTTTACCCTAATAAATAGAGAGGATCAGAGAGACTCCGGAGCCTCATATTTTGTATGACCACTTTCACTCTTAACTCAGATCTCTGTATCTCAAGTAGTTATGCTATGTGTTTCAGGTGACTCTCCACTGATGGGAGAGTCACATTCGTTAAGAAAATTCTTTTGTTACAGATTAAATTAGAATGCAGTAATTTTGTGAAGAATTTTTTTTCTTGTAATGCAGGCAAACTACCCAGAAGGGAGGACAGTCACTGGAGTAACAGAGCAGTCAGGTTTCACGTGATGCCATGCACTTCAGATACGCAGATATAATGAAATGCGTGGCTAATTGAATGAGTTAATTATCAAGTGATGACTTTCATGGTAGGTGTTAATCTATTTAGGACTGACCACATTTGAAATGAAACATTATCTAATTTTAAGTTCTAAACTTTTTCTTCTCTGTTAATATTCGAATACACCTAAGAGCCTATAGCCTTATCAGTTATCCAGTCACTAGTGTGAATATGTGCATTAGTTGTAGTCCTTTAGGTCCTTAATGTGTGCACCTGTGAGGTTTGAGACATTCGAGATGGAAAAACTTGTCATAAAAGGAAAAGGCTGGGGACCAGCGGGTGGTGTGGTGGTTAAGGTGCTGGACTCCCACATGGTCAACTCCACTTTGAGTTCTGGATCCAGCAGCTTGAAAGTAATGCCAGGCACATGTTGATGGGGCCCAAGATCCCAGGAGGAGAATGGAGGAGAAGTGATTGCAGTGTGGCCGTCCTCCCTGGGTGTGTGAAGGAGTGATTTCTCACTTTCCTCCTCTCTGTCTCTCTTTCTGGTGAGTACATGCACTCTATCACAAAAAAAAAAAAAAAAAAAACAAATAAAAACAAAACCAAAAACAACCAAAAAGTAAAAAGAAAGAAAAGGCTGGAAACACAGAAAGAAGGGATAAGAGATATCGAAGACCAAAGTGTTTTGTTCTGTGTTTCACAATAACCTATGGATTATTGTTTTAACAGTCATTTTAAAAAATTTTAGCATGTGTGTTTTAGAAAACATATTAATCTGGATTTTTTTTTTCTCTCTCTCAGACAACTAAACTTGAAAAAGGTTCTTGTGTCTGGGGGTCGTATGGAATACAAGGTTGATCCTGAACATTTGAAAGAAAATGGGGGTCAAAAAATTTGCATTCTTGCAATGGATGGAGCTGGAAGGGTGAGTTTATATCGAAGCAAAATGTGGTTGTCTTATTCTTAGCTGATACCTGTAGGGAACTTGATATTGTGAAATGTATTGCTGTTTTAGTGATGATTTCTATTTGCCACCTATTTACCTTTGACATCAAATATTAGTTATTTTGGAGTTGGTATTTGCAGAGAGAATATGATGGCATTTAATTACGTAGTATTGTTTTGTTAACCTGTAATTTGAAATTTCACTTATGTGCTTAAAATGAAAATAAGGGGTTTTGATGAGTGTGTACAGTAAGTTCTCATACATGATATTGAATTATATAGATATGAAATATTTTATGTAAATACTAACTAAGCATTCAGTATTACAGATCTGATACATAACTGGAAATTTTTTCCTTAGGTTTAGTTTTTTTTTTTTTAAAGAATTATTTTTTGATTTAACTTTATTTATTATTATTATTATTATTATTGTTATTTTCCAGTTTGATCAGAAAGAAATGGAGAGAGAGAGGGAAAGTGAGAAGCAAGCCACCAGGGTTGGGATTCGAACTGCAGTTGGCCATGTGGGAATCCAGCGCCTTTAACCACCATGCCACCTGACAGCCTCCCTCAGGTTTATTTTTATACAAATGAATACATTATGACCAGATTGACCATCTCTAATCTAAAAATACAAAATCCCAAATGCTCTAAAATCCAAAATATTTTGAGTACCAGCATGATACCACAGTGGAAAATTTCCCACCTAACTTCATATTGTTGGTCACAGTCAAAATGCACACACACAGCACATAGTCTTTTTAGCATCCCCAAGGAAAAAGGCACTCTAAGCCTTCTTCAGCTACAGTATATTTTTTCTGCTTATTTTTCTGCTTATGTTCATTGCCATATTTTCCCATTCCCACAAGAATTTCATTGTACAAAATTAAAAATAATATTTTATAGGACTGGCCTGTAGTGCAGCGGTTAAGCACAAAGGGAGCTGGATCTCACATGACTGACTGCAATTTGAATTTTTGCCTGGCATCTTGAAAAACATGCTGGGACCATGTGCACCCAGCCTCTGCCCAGGATCCTAACTAGGTGGAGAAAAGGAAGAAAGGGCATTACTGGGTAACCAGCCCCTACTGGGGAGTGCTTTCTCTCTCTCTGACAAATGCAGTTTCCCTCTGGAAAAAAAAAAAAAAAAGGCATAAAAGGCATAAAATTACCTTCAAGCTATGTGTATGCAATACGCATGAAACATAAATGTGTTTCCTCTTTAGACATAGGTCTCATCCCCAGGATAACTCATTATATATATTCAGGTATTCCAAAATCTGAAAATACCCCAAATCCAAAACACTTATGGTCCCAAGCATTTTGGATAAGGGATACTCAACTTGTATTTGTGTTTGTATGTATGTATATGGGTGTGTGTGTATCTCATATACATCATATATGTATCTCTGTATCTATGGGTTTCACATCTTCTGAATTAACCTAACTTCAAATCAAATATATTTGGGATGAAAAAATTCCAGAAGTTCCAGAAAGCAAAAATTTTAGCAGGCACCAAGTACTACACATGACATATGTAGGCGTTGTATTAGGTGTTATATAATCCATAGATGAATTAAAGTGTATGGGAGGATATATGTAGGTTTTATGTAACTACTGTATTATTTAATGTAAGGGTCTTTAGCAACTGGATTTTGTTACCTTCAGGGATCCTGGAACCAGTTCCCATGGATACCTAGAGATGGCTGGATAGAGCTAAACACACACACACAAACACAGTTATAATCTCTTCATATATGCTATATATATAAAACTGTATTTGTGGATTACTATAATATAAAGAATCTTATGTCTTTAAAGTAGAATTCTAATTTTAGTTCCCTGTGCAAACATATAAATATATTTCTCTAATAAAATTGTTCATTTAGATATGTATGTATATATATATTTTTTTTCTTGGAGAGATTTTCGCTATAGGGTGCGTGTGCACGCCAGACAGACAGAGACAGACATAGAGACAGAAAGCGAGAAGTCACCCCCAGGGTGATTTTTCCTCCATTTTCCTCTTGGGATCTTAGGCACGCATGCACACGTGCCCGGCGTGAGTTTTAAGCCACCCGGTCCAGGATGCGAACCGCGGTTGACTATGTGGGAGTCCAGCGACATAGCCATTATTCTAACTGCTGGTTTCCCTTTTAGATATATTTTAAGGTTATATATTTAAATAAATACTTAAATTTATACATATTAATACTTATGTGTATTTCTTTAAATTTAAATAATATTTAAATTTAAAAATCATATTTACAAATATATATTCTAAATTAGTAACACTGAAAAAATTATACACTGGGTAGACTAAAACAGATAGCTTTCTTTTCTTTTTTCTTCTTTCCTTCCTTCCTTCCTTTCTTTCTTTCTTTCCTTTCCTTTCTTTCTTTCTTTTGATGTTTTTGCCAGAGACCTTGTGTGCTGGTCAGAGAGAGAAAGAAAGAAAATGAGAAAGCTCCCCACATGGGTCATGGTCACACCATAATCCTCCTCTATCACTCTCTCCTTTTGAGATTTTGGGCAGACATGTATGTATGCATCTAGCATGCTTTTCAAGCCACCAGACTCAAACCTTGCAGTTGGCCTTGGGGGATCCAGCTGCTTTAACCACTATGCCACAAGTTAGATAGAAATTTAAAAAAAAAATTGAATAAGGATGTTTTTCAGTTTTAAAAAATACTGTGCACTTTGACATTTTAGAAATTGAAGAATTAATTATAAAGCTGTATCTACTGGTTATAATACGTATAATTATTTCAGTAGATACTTTTAATAAAGAAAACTAGTTTTAAGAATTAGAGCTCTTGGGACCAGCACATGGCTGATTATGATTCAAGTCCTGGACCGAGAGGCTTGAAACTCATTCTTGGCGTATGTGCATGCATGCCTCAAGTCCTGAGAGGAGAATAGAGGAGAAGGGATTGCGACGTGGCCATCTGCCTGTGTGTGTTGGGGAGTGGTTTACAACTTTCTGTCTCTCCTGTAAGTACACTTGCCCATAGCAAAAATCTCTTAAAAAAAAAAAAATTAGAACTCTAATTTGTACTAATGAAAGGAAACAAAGGCATAAGATTATATTAAAAAGTATTTTTTGTTTTTTTAGAAGTTTTTTTGCTATAGGGCATGTGCGCTTGCCAGGCAGACAGAGACAGAGAGATAGAAAGTGAGAAATCACCCCCCCAGAGCGGATGGCCACACTGCAATCCCATCTTCTCCATTCTCCTCTCGGGATCTTGGGCACGCATGCACACGCGCCCGATGTGAGTTTTAAGCCACCGGGTCTGGGACACGAACCATGGTCGACTACATGGGAGTCCAGCGACATAGCCATTATGCTAACTGCTGGTCCCAAATTAAATTAAAAAGTTAAGTATGAGAAGCTTACACTTGACTTTGGCACATGTTTCTATTTAATATGAGATATAAGTAAAACATATAGCTTATATAACGTTTTTGGATATTTACTTCTTGCAAAATAGTTTCATTATGAAAGCCAAATTCTGCAGAAATCAGTTTTAATCAATGTAGTCCTTTTTTATGTGTAACTAACTTTTTAGTTACCTTGCTAAATACCTTTGGGTGCTTTAGTTTTCTTAAGTTGACTTGGAAGGAATTGGACTTTTAAAAACCAGTAATTTATGGTGCCAGTGGGTGGCATGTTTGTTTAATGCTCAGGACTCCCAAATGGTTGACTGCAGTTTGAAACTCCCAGTGGCTTGAAATTCGCACTGGCAGCTTGAAACTCATTCCGGATGTGTGTGCACACTTGCCTAAAATCCCCTCAGAGGATGATTTCTTACTTTTCCTCTTACTTTCTGGTGTGAGTGCAAATGCCCTAGGGCAGAAACCTTTAAAAAAAAAATATCTGTAGTTTTGGGCCAGTTGGTAGCATGGTGGTTAAGGTGGCTGGATCCCCACACTGCTGACTGCACGATTTGAGACCCAATCTGGTGACTCGAAAAATGCTGGGCATCTGTGCATGCATGCCCAAAATTCTGAAAGGAGGGAGAAATGAAGGGATTGAGGCATGGCCATTACTCATGGTGCCTTTTCCCTTTCCCTTTCTCTTTCTGGCAAGAGGTTGCCAAATTAAAAATAACTGGTTTTAATTTTTCAAATGAAATTGTACTTAGAATATCAATATGTGAGACAGATAAAACAGTTGCTGCTCTGTGTAAAGCTGGATTGGGAAGCCTAACACCCCATCTCATCATTCTCTCCATCCCTTATCAGTAGTTTCTGAGCTACTTCTTAGGAATGCTAAGATTTATGAAAGTATTTTGAACCATTCAACTCCTTGTAAATTTTTCTCTTTCTAAGATTGTGTTTTAGTTATATAGTTGTTATATACAACCTACTTTTTTTCTATTTATTCATTCATTTTATTTTAATTTGACCAGAAAGAGACAGAGACATAGAGAGAAAGTGAGAAAGCAAGTCACCAGGTCTGGGACTCGAACTGTGGTTGCCCATATGAGAGTGTCCAGCACCTTAACCACCATGTCACCTGCTGGTCCCAAATTGAGATTTTTATAGCATGATTTTTTTAGTCTTCTTGTAAATAAATGTCACTATAACAAGCTTGACGAATTTTAGCATAGAATCATTTCTTTGTAGCAATATATCAGATTCTTTTGTCCAAAACAAGTAATACTGAAAATTACTTCTCCTTAAGAAGAGTATCTTTGAAATAATTTTTTTTTTTTTTTGTAGAGGTTTTTGCTATAGGGCACGTGAGCTCGCCAGAAAGAGAGAGACAGAGAGTCAGAAAGTTAGAAATCACCCGCCGGGGGGATGGCCACGCTGCAATCCCTTCTCCATTCTCCTCTCAGGATCTTGGGCATGCATGCACATGCACCCAGCATGAATTTAAGCCACCAGGTCCGGAGCTTGAACTGTAGTCGACTACATGGGAGTCCAGTGACATAGCCATTACACTAACTGCTGGTCCCTCTTGGAAATAATTTTTAATGCTCAGAGTACATTTCTGAATGACAAAGTTCTTTACGATCGTTTTTTTTTTTTTTTTGAGAGATTTTTGCTATAGGTCGCATGTGCTCGCCAGACAGATAGAGACAGACAGGGAGACAGAAAGCGAGAAATCACCCCCCAGGGGGGATGGCCACGCTGCAGTCCCTTCTCCTCCATTCTCCTCTTGGGATCTTGGGCACGCATGCACACGTGCCCAGCGTGAGCTTTAAGCCACCAGGCCTGGGATGTGAACTGCGGTCGACTACGTGGGAGTCCAGCGACATAGCCATTATGCTAACTGCTGGTCCCTACAATCATTTTGATTTCTGTAGAATCTCTGCAGAAGAATATTGAAACATACTAATCAGACCTTTTATTTTGATAGTATTGTCTCTTGATTTCATGTTTTAGTTGTTCAGATGCTGTATTGTCTTATATTCTAGTGTGCTTTGATTTTGTTTCAGGTGTTTTGCTGGAGATCAGTCAGTAGTTCTCTGAAGCAATGTCGATGGGCCTATCCACGCCAGGTCTTCATCTCTGATATTGCTTTAAATAGAAATGAAATTCTTTTCGTCACACAGGATGGGGAAGGATTTAGAGGGAAATGGTTTGAAGAAAAGAGAAAGAGTTCTGAAAAGAAAGGTCAGTTCATATATGTGGATGACCCATAAAAATACCTTTGAGTTAACCTCGAATTTGACAAGTATTATGAGTTTTAATTGACAAATACTAAGTTTTACTGTCATATATTTATGTATTCTTCTTTGTGACTAGTTTTTTTTTGATGCTTGTCTTTTATTGGACTGTAAATTCATGATGGCAAGAACCATAAATATTTCATTTTATATGGATTTGTCATATTTCTTGGTACATGTAGTCTGTTATTAAGTCATCTGTTGAACGAATATATTTGTATTGTATGCTAAAGTATATATGTAAAGAACATTTATAATTACTCAGAATATGATAAGTATATTCTTAAATCATATAGCCACAAAAGAATGATTTTTGGGTAATTTATTGTTTTGTTTTATTTTATTTATTTATTTATTTATAGATTATTTAAGTCTGTAAACATTTAAGCTATATTTATTGTGTGCTAAATAAAAGACAAATACGAAACTATGTAAGATCCTATTCTTAGATACTCATAAGCTTGTAGGGACAATAGATGATATATAAATATGTATAGTTCACAAATACCAGTATGTACCTATGGTAATCTGCCTGAGAGCATAGAAACTGGAATATTAGTAAAACCCCCTAAGACTGAAGTAGAGTGAATTTGAGAGAGTAACAAAATGCAGGTTTGCCTTGTAAGTATAGGAAGGCCTTAGAAAGAGTTGTGTCTTAGTCATTTTAGTGAGTTTATGATTGCATGCTCCTATATCTGTTTCTCAGTATTTTCTGTCTTAATGTTTGGTTATCTTTGATACCCCATATTCTCTCATCCCGTATATACAACCAGTTATCTAGTTTTGTTACTTCAGTCTCAGATGTTTCTGAAATATTTTCTCCAGTTTCATTGCTACAACCTCAGTCTACATCATCTTTTATTCTTTTTCTGGACTTAACTTTCTAAATGACCTCTTTTTATCTTTTCTTCCTTTATTTTAAACATCCTTCACACTACAGCCATAATCTTTTCTTTACATAAAAATTTTTTAAAAATTATTTATACATTTATCCAACTCATTTATGTTTTTATTTTTATTTTATTTTTTTTTATTTGATCAAAGAGAGACACAGAGAAAGAGAGAGGGAAAGTGAGAAAGCAAGCCACCAGGTCCAGGACTCGAACCGTGGTCGGCCATGTGGGAGAGTCCAGCACCTTAACCACCATGCCACCTGCTGGCCCCCTACATAAAAATTTTGTATCTATGTGGAAGCACTATATACTTTGGTTTTATAGCCTTAATCTGACTTCTAATGATAGAATCCTTTGCTTAATGTCTGCCTTCCTTGCATATTTCATGATGGTAGGGATATGTCTATCTCGTTCAGTACCAAATAATTAGGGATAGACCAGTGATTCTGTATCAGAGTGGCACAGTATAGTAATTCAGGTATTTGCTGAATAAATGCAAGCTAGAAAGAGGAGGAAGGGAGGGAGCAAATAAATAAGCAGATTAGGAAGACACTAAATTTATATATTTGTAATGCATGTTGGGGAGACTTGAAAGCTATTGTGATCCTAGATTTGCTTTTTAGAAGATAATTTTGGTAGAGTATGGAGGGTGTTTTATTGAAAAAAACAAAACCATGTACAACTAAGAATTGACCCATCAAACTCTCCTTAATAATACAACAATATTAGGTGTAAAATGTTGTGTTGAAGAGAGGATGTAGGTCTTCAAAAGGACTTAATGGTATGAAAAATATTTTCATGTTTTTCTCATTTGTTTTTCTATTCTGTTACTCCTAAATTGTTTTAAGAAAACCTTGATTAATATTAGTTTATTATTTTTTCTTTGTGGCAGAGATTTTATCAAACCTTCATAATTCCTCATCAGATGTGTCGTGTGTCTCTGACATAAATAGCACATATGAAAGAATTCGACTTGAGAAACTTACTTTTGCCCATAGAGCTGTTAGTGTCAGCACAGATCCAAGTGGATGCAACTTTGCAATCCTGCAGTCAGATCCTAAAACAAGGTATACTTGTAGATGTTCTTATTATTCTTATGATTTTTAGAAGGAGCAGTCACTGGATTTTCTTTTGTTTTTAGTGCTCTTGGTACAAATTTAATTGAAGAGCTGATGCCAAGTCCTATAGAGCTCTTAGACAAATAATCATGTTATGTAACCCAAAGGTGGAATTTGTTATACTTGAAATAATGAGTGTTTTCTTTGGTTTATAAACTTTTATTGAAAATATTGAAGATACACACACACATAGATATATACTTGCACACAGAAAATTTATTTGCCTTTATTAGTTTTAGATACACTCTAGGTTCTCAACATTCTGAGAAAGTGTTCTTTAGGATGTTTGTGAAAATTTCCAGTCTTTGAATATGATGAGAATTGACAAAAGAACAGGTGTGGAACCAGTGCAGATCTCCTAAGTCACATTAGGAGAGGGTGTAAGGTTATGGTAAACGTCAAGGGCACTGTTGAAGAGGGAGGAAGCTCTACAAGTAGGGTGACTACCCATCTAGACACTTGCCTCTATCTGCTCCAGTTTAAGCACTGTAAGTATCATCTCCTGGGAAAACCCTGAGTCCAAGTCAAACCAGGAGAGTTGTCCTCCCACCTCAAAGGACGGAAGTAGACAAGAAAGACAGATGGCATTCCTCTGGTAATGAAAGAACCTTGGTTATGGACTGTGTGTATTTATCATTACTTGAGTTCTGACCTACTCTTACCTGGGACCTGAAGTATTTGCCTGTATGTTTGTTTTTCTTCCCTTGTAAAATAAAAGATAGAAAAGAGGAAGACTATAAGCTGTCTTTATTCTTTTTAAAATGTTTTTAGCTATACATTTCACCATTTAAAAAATTTTGTTGAAACATCCATTAGAATTTATGTTGTTCAAGCATTTCCTTGTAGGAACAGAGAACACTGCTTTTAAAGGAAAACTTAACAAAGGGGATGACATATTATCTAATACTGTGCACTATTCTTGTATTTTAGGAAATGCCAAATTTAAAATGTTCTCATTACTAAGTACATAAACATTGCACTTAGAAAGAATTAGCTAGACATCTTACATTTTCTTGAAAGTAAAAAGTATTTTTGTTTCATTTCTAGCCTTTATGAAATTCCAGCTGTTTCTTCAACATCCTTTTTTGAAGAGCTTGGCAAACTGTTGAGGGAAACTGATGAAATGGACAACATCCATGATGTGACATTTCAAGTTGGCAATAGAGTCTTTCCTGCACATAAATACATTTTGGCAATGCGTTCTGACTTTTTTCAGAAATTATTTCTTTCAGATGGTACTATAGAATTTACAGATGTTTATCGGAAAGATGAAGATTCTGCAGGATGCCATCTCTTTGTGGTAGAGAAGGTTCATCCTGACCTATTTGAATACCTCTTACAATTTATATACACAGATACTTGTGACTTTTTAACTCATGGCTTCAAACCAAGAATATACTTAAATAAAAAGTCAGAAGACCACCAGGATACTCTGAATTCTCATTTTAATGAAATGCATTGCCATGAAGATAATAATCAGAAGTCAGCATTTGAAGTTTACAAAAGTAATCAAGCTCATACAGTTACTGAAAGGCAGAAAAGCAAACCCAAATCTTCTAAGAAAGGAAAAAGTGTTGGAGATGATGATCCTGTAAAAATGTTGCAAAATATTGCAAAGAAATTTGGTTTCAGTAATTTGAGTAGTAGGTATGACTTCTCCTTAATATCTATTTTGATGTGTCATTAAGTCCTCTTTTTAAAAATTCCTCCCTGCACTTTTTTCATTTGCTTTTTTCCTCCTCCTCCATCTTCCTCTTCTACCCACTTCTCACCCTCCCTTTTTCTCTCATTTCTCTTTCTCCTTCCTTTACGATAGGTACACAGATGTTCTTTCTCCATTTTCTTGTTGTCTTTGTGATTATCTGGATATTTTTGTGGGATTTCCTAGAATAGAACATGAAAAGATAGAAAGGCTGTTATTGGTTTTGAACTGTGTGGGCAAGTGCGAAATAGGGATTTGGAGTGGCAGGTAGTATGGTGCATTGGAAAGATCTTTGGAATCTATATTTGTGTCTCTAGCTCTACCTCCTGGACTAGGCAAACTTTATAATTTCTTTGAACTTCAATTCCTAGTATATAAAATGGAAGGGATAATAATATTTACCTATTATTATTGGTATACTTTAGTCATACATCATTGTAAAGTTTAAAAACAGTATTTGTCATATAGGAGCTTAGGCATTCTCTCTCTTTTTAAAGATACTTTGGCTGTGATACGATAACCTTAGTTGTGGGTGGTTCGAGTAGAGGAGGACTGTATATCATGTTTTCTACTTAAAAGCAATGAAAAACTTGGTGCCATGGGTTTGAGAGTTTTGTTATTTTTGTTATTTTTTTTTGGTGAATAGTGATATTTAGTATCTTTTGAATTCTAATTAAAATTGAAAAAAGGTGTGTTTCTTTATCTCAGTTGAGATTTGAGATGTTTTTCTATGAGATAATATTATGTTCAAATTTAAGCTCATACGTTGGATTTTTGTTGTATGTTTGTTCTATTTTGGTAGGAGAATATATCTTTTGATTGTTCATTTTTATATATTCTTGATAGGTTAGATGGAGTCAGATTTGAAAATGAAAGAATTAATGTTATTGCCAAGAAAACTGGTAATAAGCCAAAGCTAAATCAGAAAAAATGGTAAGTTAAGAAATGATAAAGTTTTCATCTCTAGGTTTTGGCACGTAAGTGTGGCAACAGAGCTCTTCTTATTTATATATGAAATAAATAAACATACATACACATAGATATATATGGGTAGGTACCCTCCTACCTCTTCTGGACTTCATTTCCAGAAATGTTAGGGAACCATATGTAATAGGTAAATTATTAACTACTTAATAAGGCATTGAAGGAATTCACTATTACTAATTACTTTCTTTTTTTAAAAAATATTTATTTATTTATTTATTTCCATTTGTTATTTTTAGTTTGTTTTTTGTTTGTTTGTTTTTGTTTTTTTAATTTGATGAGAGAGAGAGAGAGAAAGAGAGAGAGAGAGAAAAAGAAAGTAAAAGTGAGAAAGCAAGCCACCAGGTCTGGGACTTGAACCATGGTTTGCCATGTGGGAATCCAGCGCCCTTATCCGCCACACCACCTGCTGTCCCCGCTAATTACTTTCTAATGAAGAGAGACCTTTTCCATTTTTCCTAACTGGATTTCATACTGTTTAATAAGTAGGAAATGATGTTAACCCCCAAACTCAAGTAATTGTGCATTTCATCATTATGATGGTTATTTTCTGTAACAAACTTTTTTCAATAATTAATATACTATTCTAAATATGTTTGTTATTAAAAGTTTTATTTTTAATTTTATTATTATTTTTTTTTTTTGGAGAGATTTTCACTGTAGGGTGCGTGCGCTCGCCAGACAGACAGAGAGAGACATAGAGACAGAAAGCGAGAAATCACCCCCCAGGGGGGATGGTCACGCCGCAATCCCTTCTCCTCCATTCTCCTCTCGGGATCTTGGGCACGCACGCACACGCGCCCGGCGTGAGTTTTAAGCCACCGGGTCCGGGACACGAACCGTGGTCGACTATGTGGGAGTCCAGCGACATAGCCATTACGCTAACTGCTGGTTCCAATATTTGTACTTTCTTTGTAGCGAAAAGTTTTGGAGGAAAGAAATCATGGAAATGTCTGGATTTGACACAAAATAGGTTGTAAAATAAGTGAATGAGGATTTTAAATATGATGTCACTTAATATCCTATGAAGAAGATCTTTAAAAAGTTCATGGAATAGCTATTTAAATATACATATATTTTATACACACACACATTGATACACACACACATTTGAAATACACTTTGCAGGTATTTCAAAAAGTTTTTACACCAAGATAAACTTAAAGCTTTAATTCCATTCTTCCATAAACTTTTTTTTTTTTTTTGTTAAGGAAAAGTAAAAGTGCACTCCTGAGAGGTAGGGGAGGGTCTGAGCAGACAGAGATAGAGTGGCTAAAAGGCCCTGGCAGTTGCATTCTGTGGGATTCATAATTCTTAAAATTTATTTATTATCATCATAATCTTGTTTATATTACATTGAACGCATATAACTTTACAGTGTATTACATTGCTTTTTCAAAAGGGAATTCCCTTCCATGAACTTTTTGAAGTCCTCTAGGAGTGAAACCTTGTCTCGAGTAAGAAAAAGAAAAATGAAAAGAGACTTTCAAAGATTTATCTGTATTCTGTTTTCTTTTTAAACATCGTCTTTATCATTTGGGCCTTATTTTCCCTGAGATGGAGAGAGATGAAGTATTTTATTTGTATGTAACTAAAGTAGTTTATTTTTTGCCATCTTTATGAGAATATCTAATGTTAAGCCAAATCCTGCAACAAATTTTCTTATTGCTGAATCTTGCTTCAGTTAAACATTTTTCTTGCAGTTCATTTCTGTGTGATGTAACCATGAAATCAGTGGATGGAAAAGAATTTCCTTGTCATAAATGTGTTCTTTGTGCTAGACTTGGTAGGTACACTTTCTCTTAGTCGCTCATTTGTTTGTTTTAGTATTGTTTTTACTCTTATTACATTGAACTTTCATTTTCTTTCAGAATATTTTCATAGTATGCTGAGTAGCTCATGGATTGAGGTAAGATGTAAGGAGAGGACATCTAGGGTGATAACTATAGTTCTTTATATTTTTGGAAAATTACATACTAAAGAAATGCAAAGTTGGTACTTAATATTTTAGTTCAGTTTCTCATTTGTGTTAAAGTTTATTTATACCTAAGGCTGCTGAAAAGTAAGAACATTTAAAACTTAAAATTGTTACTAAAAAGTTGCTTAAAAACAAAAACAAAAAAACTCCCTGGGACCAGCAGGTGATGTAGCGATGAAAGCACTGGACTCCCACATAGCCAGCCGTGGTTCAAGTCCTGAATCTGGTGGCTTGAAACTCATGTTGGGTTAATGTGCATGTGTGTCCAAAATCCAGAGAGGAGAATGGGTTGTGGGCATGGCCATACCCTTTAGAGGGTGATTGTTCACTTTCCCTCTCACTATCTCTGTCTTTCCAGTGAGCCCACATGCCTTATGGCAAAAACCTAAAAACAAAGCAAGGCAATACAAAACTTAGAAATGTTTTTAGAATGCCAATATGTTTCTTGGTTTCTGAATTTTTCTTTGTTCTTTTCATTGTTATATTTTAAAGTTAAATGCAGACTGGTTATCTCTTATATGAAGGCTTAGAACCAGAAGTGTTTCAGATTTCAGTTTATTTTTCTTTTTAATTTTGGAATATTTGCACATATATAATGGGATATCTTAGGAATGAGATCCAAGTCTAAACATGAAATTCATTTGTTTTGTATTCACCTCATATAGGATATAACTTTAAAGTCATTTTATATAATATTGTCGTATTTCAGTATTTTGATTGTGACCCATTGCATAAGGTTAGATATAAAATTTTCCACTTGTGTCATATCATTACCCAAAAAGTTTCAAATTTAGAGCATGTTGTGTTTTGGATTTTGGGATGAGGGAATGCTCAACCTGCATATCTCATTTTAGCATTGTGCTTAATAAATGTTATATTTTGCATTTGATGTAATTTTTTACTCAGTTTTTATATCAACCCAAATTAGAACAAAATAGTGTTTTATTGTTTAAAATTAATTATTTCACTTATTTCACTTTATTTAGTCTTCCAGTTGTGCAGCTCTGGAAATGCCAATACATTCTGACATACTTAAAGTTATTTTGGACTACCTCTATACTGATGAAGCTGTGATGATAAAAGGTATTAGTAAGAGGATACTTTAAATATTTCAAATAGATTAATGGTAAAATCAGTATATCTAATTTCTACTCTACTTAAAATAAGATGGAAATAGAGGGCAACTAGAATAAATAGTAGTGATTATTACTAAGAAAAGAAACAGAAAAAGAAAGTTTTTATTACCCAAGTGAAAATTAACTGTAAGAATCATATGTAAAAATTGAGATTGCATTAACAGTTCCATTTGTAGCTGCTCTGTAATTGAAAATGAATTGATAACAAAGTGTGTAGTTTTGACATTTTACATAAATTCATTCTTATTTGTTTTTTCCCTCTGTTATAGCTGAAGTGAAAGAAATAGATTAAGAATGGAACCCAAATTTATGAAGAGAGTCCATTTATATACTTTGCCAGGCAAAACGTTTTAGTTCCCACATTTCCCTAGTTATTAGCATAGTATTGGATGTTGTGTAATTGGTACTCATTTAACCATTAGGGTTTTTTTGGTCCCATCTTTATATTGGGGATAAAACAAAAAAATGAAAAGACCTTTCTCTATTTTTAAAAAGCTTACAATCTATTGGAGAACATAAACATACAGAAAAATAAATGTAATTCAAGAGAGTAATTCTCTAAAAAAATTCATCTGAGTATGCCCGGATAAATCCGGGTAGTGTTTGTAGAGGAGATAGTGTTTAACTGAGGAGAAGATTTCTAAAGACTTGTGTACTTGGGAGGAAGCTGAGATAGTTGGAATTTTTGGTCTACTTCTCATTCTTTGGTTGGATTGAGGTATTCATATACAATGAAACTGATGCTTCTAAAGCCTATAATTATGTGGTTTTTAATATATTTGTAAACTTGTGCAACTGTCACCACTATTCTAGAACAATTTTATTAGCCCCAGAAGAAAACTTATATCCAGCAGCATACACTTTTCACTCTCCGTATTCCTAGCCTGTTGCAACTGCTAATCTACTTTCTGTCTGTATTTATATGCCTATTCTTGACATTTCATATAAATAGAATTAAGCATTATGTGGCCATTTGTGTCATCTTGTACTTAGTATAATGTCTTCAAAGTTCATCTATATTATAGCAGATACACAGCTTCATTGCCAAATAATAGCCATTATGTGGATATACCATATTTTATTTATTGGTAGATGGACATTTGGGTTCACTTTTTGGCTATTCTAAATAGTGCTGCTACGAATAGTCACACTGTAGTTTTTTGGGGGGCTGTTTTTATTTCTTAGTTATATACCTAGGAGTGGAAGTGCTAGGTCATATAGTATCCTATGTTTAATTGTTTAGGAACTGCCAGATTGTCTGAAAGTGACTACAATTTAATTTTCCCACCAGTAGTGGGTGTGGGTTCTAGTTTCTTCACATCCTCACACACTCATTAAGGTCTTCCTTTTTTTAGCCAACCTAATAGATGTGACGTTTTACAACATTGTGATTTTGGTTTGAATTTCCATAATGACTAATGATGTTGAGCATCTTTTCATGTTCTTTTTTGGATATTTGTGTACTTTCTTTGAAAAAAAATCGAAGTATTTTGGCCATTTTTATTTGAATTATTTGTCCTTTCCTTATGACTTTATATATTTCATATGCTAGTCCTTTAATAGATACATGATTTCTTCCCATTCTCTAGGTTGTATTTATTTGTAGTTTCTTGGTAGTGTCTTTTATTATAAAAGTTTTTGATTTTGATGAAACTTAGATTATCTATTTTTACTTAATTGTTCATTGGTGTCAGATCTAATAATTCTCTTCAAAATCCAAGGGCTGTACCTCCTGTGTTTTCTTGTAAGAGTTTTATAGTCCCGTCTCATCTTTACCTCCTTTCTTTTCTTGTAAGAGTTTTATAGTCCCGTCTCAGATTTACATCTTTGATCCATTTGGAATTAATTTTTTCCTCAGCTTTATTAGAGTATAATTGACAGATAAAAATTGTATATAATCAAGGTGTACATGATGTTTTGTGTATACATATGTCTTGTGAAATGATTACCACAATCAAGGTAATTAACATCAATCACTTCACATATCCATTTTCTATCAAATTCCAGGGCCTTGTAGTTTTTTATGGCTGAGTAGTATTCCATGGAGTATATGTTTCACATTTTTTTGAATCCATTCATCTTTTCGTGGACATGTGGGTTGGTTCCATGTCTTAGCAGTTGTGAATAAGGCTGCAATGGATGAAAATGTACAAGTGCTTTTCCAACTGAGCGTTCTGTCCTTTGTGTAGATACCCAGGAGTGGAATTGCTGGATCGTATAGTAGTTCTATTTGAAGGTCTTTGAGGAATCTCCATATTGTTCTCTACAGTGGCTGTAACAATTTACATTCCCACCAGCAGTGTAGGAGTGTTCCCCTTTCACCACATCCCTTCCAACACTTGTAATTTTTTGATTTTTTAATCTTTGTCATTCTGACTGGGGATAGATGGTATTTCATTGTGATTTTGATCTGCATCTCCCTTCTGATGAGAGGTGTTAAGCATTTCTTCATATGCTTTTTGACTGTTCATATGTCTTCCTTAGAGAGTTCTTTATTCAGCTCATTTTCCCATCTTTTAGTTGGGTTAATCTTTTTTTCCAGGTAAGCTGCTTGAGTTCTCTGTGTATCCTTGATATCAGTCCCTTATCTGAGGCACAGTTAACAAAAATTCTCTCCCATTCCGAGGGTTGCCGATTCACACTAATTAATCTGATGTAATCCCACCTGTCTATTTTGGAGGTTATTGCCTGTGCTTTGGTGGTCTTGCTTAAGAAGTCTTTGCCTACCCCAATGTCTCCCAGAATTTCCCCAGTGTTTTCCACCACTAGTTTTATAGTTTGTGGTCTTAGGTTTAGATCTTTGATCCACTTTGAGTTGATTTTTGTTAATGATGACAGATAGGTTCAGATTCATCTTTTTGCAGTTGGATATCCAGTTTTTCTAGTACCATTTGCTAAAGAGGCTTTCCTTTTTCCACTGGATTGACTGGTCCCCTTCGTCAAAGATGAGTTGGCTGTATGTTTTGGGGTTTATTTCTGGGGTCTCTACTTTGTTTCATTGGTCCTCATTTCTGTTTTTGTACCAATATTATGTTGTTTTGATGATCACAGCTTTGTAATATATTTTGGGATCAGGAAGTGAAATGCCCCCTATCCATTCTTCTTACACAGAATGGCTTTGGCAATATGTGGTCTTTTATGATTCTAGACAAATTCTATGATTGTCTTTTCTAGATCTGTGAAGAATGTCTCTTGTCATTTTATAGGGATTGCATTAAACAAGCAGATTAATTTGGGTAGGATTGCCATTTTAATTATATTGATTCTACTAATCCAGGAACATGGCATGTCCTTCCACTTTTTAGTGTCTATTTCAATTTCTTTTTAAGGTTTTCATAGTTTTCCTTGTAGATGTCTTTGACTTCCTTGGTTAGTTTTATTCCTCAGTATCTTATACTTCTTGTAACTATGATAAATGGATTTACATTTTTCAGTTCTCTGTCTGCTTGTTGTTTGTATATAGAAATGCTATAGATTTTTGTTAGTTAATTTTGTATCTGCCCACTTTACTGTATGCATTTATTACTTTGAGAAGTTTTTTCATGGATTCTCTTGCATCTCTGTCTTTCTGGTGAGCACGCACACCCTGTAGCAAGAAATTCTCAAAAAAAAAAAATCAAACGGAACAGTTAGATATGAAAGCTGTACTACAGAAAATTAAAACTTCCCTTAAAAGTATTAAAAGGATGTTAGACCACGCATAATGTTTAGATGTTTAGCTTCTATGCATAGTCATCTCTAGGCTGAGCAGTAAGACAGGAGAGTAAGGTAAAAGAAAATGAGTAGGAAATATAGGAAGAAAAAGCAAAGAGAAAAGAAGGAAAGTACTATAAGAAAAAGAGGAAAAAAATTAGAAATCAGATCGCAGAAAATGAAATTGGGTTAAAAATGGAAAACCGCGTGCTTGAAGGCCCAACACAGGCAGAGGTGGAGAACCCTGGAGGCTTTTTTGAAGAGGTTTTTGCTATAGGGCGCGTGCGCTCACCAGACAGACAGAGAGAGACAGAAAGTGAGAAATCACCCCCCAAGGGGGGTGGCCACGCCACAATCCCTTCTCCTCTTGGGATCTTGGGCACGCACGCACATGCGCCCGGTGTGAGTTTTAAGCCACCAGGTCTGGGACACAAACCGCGGTCGACTATGTGGGAGTTCAGCGACATAGCCATTACGCTAACTGCGGTCCCTCCCTAGGGGCTTTCTTGATGCTTTTTGTTTTTCATTGATTGACCGTTGTATGATTCCTTTTTATGTGCTACTGGATTCAATTTGTTAGTTTTTTATGTTGAGAATTTTTGTGATAAAAATTGCAAGGGACATTGTTTTAGTTTTTCTGTGATGTCTTGTCTGGTTTTAGTATTAGGATAATATTAACCTCATTGAATGAGTTGAGAATTGTTCCTCGTTTTCTGCTTTTTGAAGGGCTGGGAATAAATCGGTGTTAATTCTTTAAATGTTCAGTCAGTTCACCAATGAATGCGTGTCATCCTGGTTTTTCTTTGTTGTAAGTTTTTTGATCACTAATTCAATCTTAATGTAGGTCTATTTAAATTTTTTAGTCTGTCTTGAGTTGATTTTGGTAGTGTGTGTTTAAGAAATCACTGTCTAGAAGAACATCTTCAACTGTTTCTCCTGTGTTTTCCAACAGTAGTTTTATAGTTTGAGGCTTTCCATTTAGATGTTTGGTCCATTTTGTTTGTGGTGAGAGATAAGGGTCCAGTTTCATTTTTCTGTAGATGGATATTCAATTCTTCTAGCACCGTTTTCTGAAGAGAGTTTGTTTTCTCTACGTGATTGTCTTACGTCCTTTGTCAAAAATCAGTTGGCTGTATGTTTTGGGATTTATTAATGGATTTTTCTATTCTGTTTCATTGTGTATATATCTTTTTCTGTGCCAGTACCATGCTGTTTTGATTGTTAAAACTTTGTAGTATATTTTGAGATCAAATAGTGAGATGCTTCCTACTTTATTCTTTTTGCACGGTGTTACCTTGGCAATATGGGGCCTCTTATGGTTCCAGACAAATTTTACTATTTTTTTTTTTTTTTCTGTTTCTGTGAAGGCTGGGTGTTTTCAGTGTGATTGTGGACTGTTGATTATCAGAGCTATAGTGGAGGAGAGAAGAGGATAGTCTGAATAGGAAAACCTACAGTGTCCTAAATCTCATTGTTCTCACCACAATTCAGCCATCTTTTTTTCTTGAGTAAACATTGCACACACATTATTGCAGGTCTTTGATTGATTTTAAGAATTCTGAAAAAATTGACAAGTTTTGACAGAATTCTCATTTCACTTTTATAGAGAAGATCTTCATAATTTCTTAGTCTGTTCATTCTAATGACTTTATCCCTCCCCTCTTTTCAAACTCTGTTTTCTTCTTTCTTTATTTTTTCTTTGTAATCCTTTTATCCCTTTTCTTCTGTAGTAGCTACTCTTTTCTTTCTGTTTATATTGTTATTTTGGCAGTGACGTAGGGGCATTGTTTAGGACCAAAAGGATTATTTTAAATTAAGGATCTTCTATAATTTAAAATAAAAAAGTAGTCTAAGATAGGGCCAGCAGGTGGCATGGTGGTTAAGGTGCTGTATTCCTACTGGCTGACTACAGTTTAAGCCCCAGAACTGGTAGCTTGAAAATCACTCCAGGTGCATGTGTGAGAATGCCCAGAATCCCGAGAGGAGAGTAAAGGAAAAATGACTATGGTGTGGCCATCCTCCCTGTGAAAGTGAGAGAGTGATTTCTCACCTCCCTCTCTTTGTATCATGCTATCTCTGCTGCAAGTACACGTGCCCTATGACAAAAACTAAAGAAAAGAAAAGAAGTAGTGTAATATTGAATTTTTTTTTTTTTTTTTTTGCTAGAGGGCACATGCACTTCTGAGAGAGAGAGAGCGGGAGAGAGAGACAGAGGGAGGGATAGAGAGAGTAGGAGAGGAGAAAATAATCCTCATGGGGACTCTTTAATCCTTTCTCCCCTATCTCTTTTCAGGAATTCGACCATACACATAGTTGTGCCTAGTGGGAGTTTCAAACTTCTATGTCTGGGACTTTACCTTATTTTCAGCCATGTGGGACCCAGCTTCCTTAACCAGCAGGCTTTGGAGCTGACCTGGAAAGTTTTATTTTAATTAAGAAAGCCAGGAGGATTATTCCCCACCTGCCTATATATTTTTAAGTGTAATGCTCTCTTTTTTAGCTCCTTAAGTGTCTCAGAATTTTTTTCTAGGAGTAACTCTGCAAAGTAATAAAGAATGATGCTTCTTTTCTTTTTTTTTCAGAATCTCAAAATGTGGATTTTATTTGTAGTGTTCTTGTGGTGGCTGATCAGCTTCTCATAACTCGATTAAAAGAGATTTGTGAAGTAGCATTAACTGAAAAGTGTGAGTAATTTAGAATGAGAATATTAGTGTGTTTTTGAGTGTTCAAAGACAAATTAATAATAAATATTAGAGATGATAGATCTGTTTATTACCCTGATTTGATTATTACCTGTTATATGCTTGTATTAAAAAGATCATACTGTACCCCCTACATATGTAAAATTATTATGTATTAAATAAGTTTAAAAAAGAAAGAAACTATTGAGATCTCAAATACAAAGAATTGAAAGCTCTTAAAAAACGGATATTTGTATGATTTTAGGTTGAATCAGGATTACTGTAACTATACTTTATTAACTTTATGATGTCATTATGGTAAAATACATACTTTTTGGGTGTCATTTAAATAATTATGTACCATCATTTGTAAGTACATTCTTAGAAATATGTGAAAATATTATATTTTAGAATAGAAATATAATGTTAACATTTTTGTGTGTGTTTTGTTTTTTGCTATAGGGCACTCGTGCTCACCACAGAGAGAGAAGGAGACAGGGAGAGAAAGTAAAAAATCATCTCCTAAGGGGAAGGGCCATGCTGCAATCCTTTCTTCTCTATTCGCCTCTCAGGATTTTGGGCACGTGCACACGTGCCCACTGTGATTTTTCAGGCAGCCAGGTCTGGGACTCTAGCTGCAGTGTTCCATGTGAAAGTCCAGCACCTTAACCACACTGCCACCTGCTGGCCTAAAAGATAATATAAACTTTTATTGAAATTTATAAAACCTTGAATAATAAAGACAGGTCACTTTTTTTTTTTAGTTGTTTGTGCTATAGGGTGCATGTGCTCACCAGAGAGACAGAAAGTGAGAAATCACCCCGGGGTGGCAATGGGGGGTGGTGGCCACACCTCAATCCTTTCTCCTCCATTCTCTTGGGATCATGGAATTTTTTTGCCCTTACTTCAGTATTGGATATAAAACTTGTTTTTAGCCACTCATTTCTTACTATTTGCTAGAATTCTTTTTTTTTTTTTTTTTTGGAGAGGTTCTTGCTATAGAGCGCGTGCACTCGCCAGACAGAGAGAGACAAAGAGACAGAAAGCAAGAAATCACCCCCCAGGAGGGATGGCCATGCCGCAATCCCTTCTCCTCCATTCTCCTCTTGGGATCTTGGGCACGCACGCACACACACCCGGCGTGAGTTCAAGCCACCGGGTCCAGGACACGAACCGCGGTTGACTACATGGAAGTCCAGCGACATAGCCATTACGCTAACTGCCGGTCCTACTATTTGCTAGAATTTTTACGTAACTTTCCCATTAATGTATCTTAACAAAGCACATCTATTTTTTTCCTCTTAAACACTTATTTCTCTCTTTATTCATTGTTTAAGTTAGTAGTAGCATGGCTGTCTCCCTGAACACTCACCTTTGAAATGTGAGATTATTTTTATTTGTTATTTCAACCTTTATACCCAGATCCTTTCAGCTATCAAAACTGACTTATCTTAATATGTTGGTGACATATTTTAATTCTCAGTGTCACTCTGCTGGTGAAGGTCACTGTTATCCATCCATCCATCCTTTCTGTATATTGTCAAATTAGTCTGTTAAATACTCTTTTTTCTTTCTACTTTTTAAAAATTATTTTTAAGAAATAATTACATCTGTTCCCATTAGAAATTTTCAGTTGCTTACTCTAGAATCTCCTTTTAAACAAGAAAAGAAAAATACATGAAAGTGAAAGGCATAGCATACAATAGGTATAAAATAAACATAGTGCTGATTATTTTCGTTTCTTGAATTTATGTTTTTGGCCTTCTTTAGATATACTTTCTTGACCTCTGCTGCACATTGCAGCAGAATTTGCAAATTCCTTAATTTTCCCTGAACCTACCCAAAGAAAGATTCCATGGAAGTTTGATGTCTGATTATTGGTCATTGTACAGAGCCCTATTCCCAACTGAACAACTCTAGAACAGTTTTTGTTTGATCCAGTTTTACCATTTCTTTAAGACGTGAAACTTTGTTTTCATCATTAGTTCAAACTTTTGTCAGGCAGATACCCTTATTTACCCTAATTGCAACTTTATGTAATCGAGTTACTGGGGACAAAAAAGAAAGGAATAGAAGAAAATAGGTGTAGAAAATAGCCATACTCCTCTATTGGCTGGAACTCAGAGTAAGTAAGAATGGAGTAGTTCAAGAAGCTAAGGTTGTATGCTATATAGGTAGAATATTTTAGAAGGAACTTTATCAAAATAGGACAGTTCATATATAAAGTTAGGATTATAGTTAAATCTAGAACCTTTTTCAGTCTGTCAGATATTGTTCTGACATGTATAATATAACGGTAATAGTTTGGTCATACTTATTTTCTGTGTACACACTTATATGTGCACATTTGTTATTTAAAAACACCCATCATTTTTTTTTAAGTTAGCTATAGGACGTATGTGCTTGTTAGAGGGAGTGAAGGAGAGAGAGAGAAAGTGAGAAAGCACCCCCCTAGGGAAGATGACCATGCCACAATCCCTTCTTTACTTTCCCCTTGGGATTTTGGACACACACACAAACACTCCTGGCAATTTTTTAAAAAATTATTTTATTTAAGTTTTTAAAATTTATTATTTATTCATTTGTTTATTTAAATTTGACTAGAGAGGGACAGAGTAAGAGAGAGAAAGTGAGAAAGCAAACCAGGACTCGAACAACGGTCGACCATGTGGGAATCCAGCGCCTTTAACCACCATGCCACCTGCTGGCCCCCCTGGCATGTCTTTTAAGCTTCCAGTTCCAGGATTTGAAACATGCAGTTGGCCATGTAGAATCCAGCGCCTTAACCACCACGCCACCTGGCTGGCCCACCATATAAATATTTTAACGTTTATTTTTTGTATGAATGAGAGAGAATGTAAGAGAGAGTGAGAGAGTGAACGAGTAACTTTAGTGAGTACTCCCATTAGGGTCTTGATGCTGTGCAATCCACTCCCAGCTTTTAGAGAGTCCTAGATCATGGGCAGGAGTGGCCTGGTGTATTCAGGGATGTCTTTGGACTTGTAGCAGGATCCTTCCCATATGGGATTCCCTTGCAGAGTGTTGTCCTTTATTTCTATGTCACTGTCTGGCCTTATACCCACATAAATGCTGTGATAGGTAACATTTTATAGAATTGTTTCATGCTAAAATACATTTTTTTAGTTTTATAGAAGAGGAATAACTACTCTGTGCTGTACAGATGAAAAGGAAAGTGAGCAATAAAAGTTAAAAATATTCAGAGGTTGTTAGGTGAAAGATTGTGAGTTTTTACGTGTTGTGCTTTAGATGACATAATGACCCTTCCATATTTTGTTTTGCTTAGAAGTTTTGTATGTGAGCTTGTTTTTCTTCATAACCAGTCTTTAGACATGAGTTTGACATGTTGAGATCCAAAATAAATTTTTATTTGCTCTGCTATAAATTATTGTTGACAAGAAAATATTTTGTTTTCCGTTTTAAATGTTCAAGTTTTAAAACTTCAGATTTGCTATATAACATGCCTTTCATCTGATTTGCAAATCTTTTTTTCCTTTTTAGTTACCCTTAAGAATGCTGCTATGCTACTGGAATTTGCAGCAATGTATAATGCTGAACAGTTGAAACTGTCTTGTTTACAGTTTATAGGACTGAATATGGCAGCTTTACTTGAAGCAAGGTAGGTTGGGTTCATACAATATAGGACTATAGAAAAGTAGATATTTGTATGTAGTAGCAGATACATTAGTAATTTAAAAGTGAACAATGAGTCCAGCCATGGTGGGGCACAGTTAGCACCACTGCTTGGGAGGCTGGAAGCTATCTGGGAGGCCTAGGTTCACTGGGCCAACCTGAGACTGTTGAACCCAATTGGGTTCTCTGAGAGGAGAAAGGAGGAGAAGGGATTGCGGCGTGGCCATCTCCCCTTGGGGAGTGATTTCTTGCTTTCTAGCTCTCTGTCTCTCTGTCTTTCTGGTGAGCGCACACATCATGCAGGAAAAACCTCTCCAAAAAAAAAAAAAAAAAAAACGCTAATGATGTAGGGGTCATAAACATTAGAGAGATTCTGAAAACTGTTCAAGTATTCGTTTATTTTTTTTGGTAGAAGTTTTTGCCTTAAGGCACATGCACTTGCTGAGGGGAGAGAGAGAGACAGAGACAGTGAGAGGAAAAGTGAGAAATCCCTGACCAGAGGGAATAGCCATGCCACAATCTCTTCTCAATTTTCCTTTTCGATCTTGGGGCACACGTACACACACAAATGCTTGCACACACCTGGCGTGAGTTTCAGGCCACTGAGTCTGGAAATCAAACTGCAGGCAGCCATGTGGGAGTCTAGCGATGAAACTGCTGTGCCATCTGCTGTTTCCTCAACTTTTCTTTTCCATAGAGAGATTTTTGCTATAGAGCATGAGTGCTTGCAAAATAGACAGAAAGAGACAGACAGAAAATGAGAAATTACCCCCCACCCCCAACCCCAGTGGGGATGGCCACACTGCAGTCCCTTCTCCTCAATTCTCGGGATTTTGGGCACTTATGCACACATGCCCGGGTGAAATTAAAGCCGCTGGGTCTGGGACTTGAACTCTCATCAGCTGTGTGGGAGCCCAGAGACATAACCATTACACCATCTGCTAGTCCTTCAACTGTTCTTAATAGTGATTTTTTTCTTTAATGAAATAAATTGACATATGTATTTTAAGAATTTTGTTATTATGCTTTAAACTTGACCAACAAGAGAGAAAGGGAAAGTAAGAAAGCAAGCACACCAGGTCCAGGACTTGAACCATGGTCAGCCATGAGGGAGTCGAGTGTCCTAATCATCACACTACCCTTATATATTCATTTTTAAGGTCAGAATATTACCTTTACACACTGGAACATCGATGGTGAGAATAAGGCTATTTTGGTGAACCCAGAAATTTGAGATGAGTTCTTTTTTTTTTTTGAGAAGTTTTTGCTCATAGGACATAGGACTCTTGTGCTGGACAGAAAGAGAGAAAGTGAGAAGTCATCCCCCAGGGGGAATGGTCACGTCGCAATCTTTTCTCCTCCATTCTCCTCTAGGGATCTTGGGCATGCACGCACACACGCCTGGCATGAGTTTAAGCCACCAGGTCTGGGATTTGAACTGTGGTCGACTACTTGGGAGTCCAGCGACATAGCCATTATGCTAACTGTTGGTCCCAAGATAAGAGTTCTTGATCTATGATTTTGAAGTAAAAGTTTCATCATGTGAGTTTATTTCTGTATTTTGTTTCAATAGTGATGATAACTAATCATCCTTACTGTGTGGTAGGCAGTGTTATAAAAAGTTACATAGGTTAATTCAGTTAACTTTCATGAAAACCTTATGAAGCAGATTCTGGTAATACCCTTGTATTCCAGATGAGAAAATCCAGGAAATTTTCTTTTTTTCCTTGCAAAGAACTGATAAAATACTGATGTATATGATGAATGTGAACAGTAACAGCTTGATTAGCTCATCTTTCAAGGTCGGCTGATCCTTAAACTTACACTAGTACTTGACTGGGGCCAACTCTGTGGCTGAGCACTAATGCAGTATTCAACAGAAGTCAGACCGCATATGGTGGCCATGGTTCAGGTCCCTGGCCTGGTCAGCCTGAAACATGCTTGGCACTCACACAGTGCCCAACATCTGATGGGCTGTGGGACTAGAGGAGGGGATCACCATGATCAGTCTGCATGTTTCTCCCTCCCTTTGTCCCTGTCCTTGTGTCTTTTTCGTGTGTGCACACTTGCTGTATCATAATAAAGAAAACATAGAAATAAAACATGACTGAAATAAAGTGTTCTGCCATTGTTTGGATTCCGATCACCAACAGATTCTTAGTAATAGCCAGAAAATTCTTCTGTAGTTTAAGGCTTTGCTATTTTGTAGAAAATGCTTTTAAGTACAAATTAATGTCATGAGATATTAGACAATGTCATTTAAAAATGTCTCTTGTTACCTTTGTGTTATAACCCAGGTAGGTTTTCAGACTAACTTTAATTTCATTGCTGACTTTATGTTGGTACCCTACTCATAGCATTTTTATTCCCCTGCATTGCCAAATTCAGCTTGTTCAGTTGATGAGATAAGAATCAGCCAACAAGTAAAGCACATAGCAGCTACCTGAAATTTGATATTGGAAGGTCATGTGTCACGCTGCTCTTGTCAAGTGTTACATTGTGACTCAAGTGTGTCAATTGAACCATTGAATTAAGGATAGCACCTGCTGGGTTAATGTCTCTACTTACATCATTTTTCAAGTAGACATGCTTAACTTTTAACATTAAAACACTTATGGGCCAGCAGGTGGTGTGGTGCTTAAAGGCGCTGGACTCCCACATGGCCAACCATGGTTCAAGTCTTGGACCCAGTGACTTGCTTATTTACTTTCTCTCTTTCTCTCTTTCTCTCTCTCTCTCTCTCTCTCTCTCTTTCTCTCATCAAACTGGATAATAGTAATAATAATGATGATGATGATGAATAAAGTTAATTAAAATAATTCTAAAAAACTTCAAAAATTTACATAAACCTAAACATTCTTAAGCAAGTATATGTGTACTAGAAGTGTAAAAAAGTATTCACAGTGATATTATGAAGAGGAAGGTTGCACTCACATTGACTTAGAATGACAAGTTAGTGCATAAATTGTTCCCAAAGTGTTGAGACTTGGTATGGTATTAATTTGAACTTGTAAATTGTTTTGTATTTTGTGTTATATAAATAGCTTAAAATATTTTTTGAGGGGTAGGTTTTTGCTATAGGGCACGTGCACTTACCAGAAAGACAGAGACGGAGAGACAGAAAGGAATAAATCAGCCCCCAGGGCGGATGACCATGCCGCAATCCTTTCTCCATTCTCCTCTCGGGATTTTGGGCATGCACACACACGCATCCGGCGTGAGTTTAAGCCACCGGGTCCAGGACTCGAACTGTAGTTGACTACATGGGAGTTCAGTGATATAGCCATTATGCTAACTGCTGGTCCCTAACTTAAAATATTTTTAAGAATACTAACTTTTACATTGAATTTTTAAAGTTTATTTCCTCTATGAGGCACCCCAACAGAGTCCCACACTGGAGTCTACTCCTAGCCTTAGCCAATGAGGATCACGAGTTTGTGCACTCAGTGTGCACAGGAGGCCTCATGATGTGAACCCAGGACTTTCCTGCCTGGCCTTCAGCATCACAGCAAATGCCAAAAATGTAAACTTTGTTTTTAATACTCACTGTTGCATTGAAGTCCATTTTCAGAACTTGAGAGATCTGTGCAGTTCATGTTGAATATAGCTAAGGTAGTCCAGACCTCGTTTTATACTTGAAAAAGCTAAGGTCCAGAGAAGTGCAGCGAGTTGTTGAAGATAGTACAGGTAATTGTAGCAGTGACAGGTTTACAAAGAATCTAGATATCCTGTTTATTGAGCCATTGTTCTGTAAATATATCGATAGTATTCTTTCTGTCAAATATTTTAATTCTGGAAAATGAAAGTTAGAAAATGAATACTTGCTGTTTTGTTTGATAGAAGAAATTCATTATATACTTATTCATATGAGGTATTTGAGTTTTATTCTGTATGTTTGTTTAATATGTTTGCTATTTACTTGAAATATACAAGTATACCTATTTCCAAAAATAATTTTTTGTAACAGCTATTGTAATGCTCAACAAATACTTTATTGGCCCAGCTACAATGATATAGGCAGTAGAAGTGCTGCTGGGTGATGATGGAAATCATGTGGCGAGGATTTGGGATCAAGTGTTGAGTCTGTGTCTTGAGTTAGGACGTGCCCTTGAGTCTGACTGGCTACAGGTGTATGGGAAGAATCACAGTGTGAAAACTCTGTTTTGAGTGCCTTTTTCTTTTTCTCTTTACTTTTCTCTTTTTCTCTTTTTTATTTACCTGGGGAAAATGAATAAATAAATTGAAATAAAATCTTTGTTACTTCTTTTGCCATATGAAACATCTGTGTATTTGAAAACATTGATAGGTATTAAATCATTTGAGTCTTATGAGAGAATTTTATATCTTTTTTTTTAGGTCTCTTGATGTTTTAAGTGATGGTGTTTTAAAGGATCTTTCTGTGTTTTATCGAAAAATGGTAAGGTTTATATTTTTTCGGTGAAGATTTTAGTGGCTGTAATATTACCATCCAGGGACCAGCAGATGGCATAATGGTTAATGTAACTCTACTCACATAGTTGACCACAGTTTGAATCCCGGACCTGGTGGCTTACAAATCATGTCAGGCAAATGTGCATGCATGCCCAAAATCCCAAGAAGAGAATGAAGTAGAAAGGATTGCGGCATGGCCATCCCCCCTCGGAGGGATTTCTTTTCTTTTTTTGGGGGGGGGAGAGATTTCTTTCAGTCTCTCTGTCTCTCTCTGGCGAGTGTGCATGCCCTATAGCAAACACCTCTCTTAAAAAAAGGAAGCAAAGTTAGAATACTAAAGCATACCATACTAAAAATACCATAGTAAAGCCATATGTTAGACCAGACTTCTAATACATTAGTATCTTTTAAAATGAGAATGTAAGATTTTTATAAGTCCCACAGGTATGTATAATAATCAAAATAGAAGGTTTTTTAAATGATAAAATTAATATCTATTTTAATTCCTTTAAAACGAATGTTCTAAAAGTTCAGCATCATTCACCAACGATAATGGCATTGCAAAAAACATGGATTCATATGGCTCCTAAGACATGATTTCATATTGCGGCCATCAGGTGGTGTGGTCGTTAAGGTGCTGGATTGCCACATGGCCGACTGTGATTAGAGCCCTGGACCCCACAGCTTGAAACTCACGCCAGGCATGTGCACATACATGCCCACAATCCTGAGAGGAGGGTGGAGACGGAACTGTGGTGTGGCTACCTCTCTTGGGGGATGATTTATCACTTTCCTTCTCAATGTCTTTGGCTCTTCAGCAAGCACACATCCCCATGGCAAAAACCTTTTTAAAAAATTGGATTGGGACCAGCAGATAGCATAATGGTTGTGTCGCTGGACTCCCATGTAGTCAACCACGATTCAAGGCCTGGACCCGGTGGCTTAAAACTCACACTGGGCATGTGTGCATGCATGCCCACACTGCTGGGAGAAGGATGGAGGAGAAGGGATTGCAGTGTGGCCATCCCCCTGGGGAGTGATTTCTTGCCTTCTATCTCTCTGTCTCTGTCTGTCTCTCTGGTGAGCACATGTACTTGATTTCAAAAATCTCTCTAAAACAAATAAACAAAAATTGGATTGATAGGTTTTTTTTTTTTTTTTTTAAGTTGAACTTTTAGGAGCCAGCACATGGCATAATGGTTAAGGTGCTGAACTCCCACATGGCTGACCATGGTTTGAGTCTCAGATCTGGCACCTTGAAAATCACCTTGGGCACACGTGAGTGCATGCCCAAAATCTCGAGAAGAGAGAAGGGATTGTGGCTTGGCCATCCCTCCTGGGGATGATTTCTCACTTCCTCTCTCAATATCTTTCTGGCTAGCTCATGTGCTCTAACAAATTTTTAATTTTTAAAAAATCTCTTAAGTGGGACATTTTTTAAGATTTTTTTCTGACAGTTTTATGGAATTAACTTTTGTATGCATGAAATTTTTTCTCTCCTTGTAATAAATTTAGGAAGTCATAGCCATTCTAAACTTTTTCTAGTTAATGTCACCACATATGAAAACAAATGGGATATTTTATCTGTTCTTTATTAAAAAAAAAAAAAAAACATTCCTTACAAGTTTTGTTTTAAAAAGCAACATCTTGTGCTAACTAGGTGGTATAGTGGTTAAGGTTGGCTGGATTCTATATGGCCGATGGTATGGTTCAAGTCCCAGACCCAAGGGCTTGAAAAACATGCCAGATACATGTACATGTATGTCGAAATCCTGAGAGGGGAATGGAGGAGGAGGAGGGATCGAAGTGTGGCCATCCCCTCAGGGAAGTGCTTTCTCACTTTCTCTGTGTTGTCTCTCTCTGTCAAGTTCATGCACTCTGCATCAGTTTTATTTATTTATTTTTATTTTAAAAAGTGACATCTTTAATTCTACAGATTCCAGCAATGGATAGAAGAGTCATTACACCATATCAAGATGGGCCAGATATTAGCTGTTTGGAAATAGAAGATGGGGATATCTTTTTGAAGGAAGAAATAAACATAGAACAAAATCATTCGTAAGCTCTGATTTCCTTTTTTCTTCCATTCTTCTTTCTTCCATGCCTTTTCCCCCAACTCTTGGACCCTTGACACGTTTGTGTTGGTATTCGGAGAAATTGAGAATTTCTGACATCAGAATTAGATAATTTATGTTAAAGTTCAGCCTTGGAATAGTATGAAGTTAAATACATATTTAATATTTGCAGGTCTAATAAATTTAAAACAAATAAGAAAAGAACATAGCCTTCAGTTAAAAAATTTTCATGCAGTTAAGTGCATTTTAGTGCATCTTAGTTACCTCTCCAAACTTTGCTGAGTTTATATTAAAGTAATAAATGGCATATTGTACTAGTGTAGAAAGAACAGGAAGGAACAGACAGAGTTAGAAGATGGTAGCAGTTTTAGAAGTTGGAAAGTGGTTGCCAAGTGGTAATGACCTAAAACAGAAAAAGCTAAAACAGGATTCTGGAAATGCTTAAGTAAGTAGTTCCAGGTTTATGAAGACTATGGTAAGTGCTTGGACTTAAGAAACATTAGATACCTGATCCTTTTCTGAACCCTATTTGTCCCCCTTTATCTTAGCAGAAGTCTAGAGATTTGTCTCTAGAGAGGTTGAAACAGAAAGGCCAGGGTTTAAACAAGTAGTAATATAATCTGTTACCCAAAAAAATTAAGCACTTTGCTCAGGGTCCCATAGATAAATGTGATTAGAGTGTGCATATTTTTACCTGGCTCCTGTTTGACCAAAATGCTATATTCTGTTAATTAAAATGCATAGTTTTTTGTTCTTTTATCTCCTAACTTAATTTACTGTTAAAAAAATGACTTTTATTTTTGCTTTTTCCTAGGGATACAACAATGTTCAAGAAGGCAAAAACAAAAGCTAAAAAGAAGCCACGTAAGCGTTCAGATAGTTCTGGAGGTTATAACCTTTCAGATATAATTCAGAGTCCACCATCCGCAGGTTAGTTTTTAGCATGTATTTCCAGTTCCAATTGTTGAGTCTTTTTTTTAACCTAATCCACCTAACATTTATTAAATATTACTGTATACCATTTGTTGATGCTACCAAAGTAGGAAAGAGTCCTAACAGAGACTACAGAAAATTGTAGTGTATTGTGATAAGTACTCCAATGGAAGTTTCCCCCGGAGTACAAAAGCCGCAACCTGACTAGTCTGAGAACAGGGAAGACCTTTAAGGAAAGTGATGCCCAAGTTGGATCTTGAAGAATGAAGAAAAGATAGTTAAGAAAAGGAGGCAGAAGAACATCCTAAGCAAAAGGAGCAATATATTCTCAAGCATATAGGAAACAGAACGGACTGCACATTTCTTGTCCATATACTTTAACACGGCTCAGCCATGTAGGAAATAGGGTCATATATTGCAATGTCTTAAATGCCGAACTAGGAAATTTGGATCTTATTCTAAAAGATATGCATGGCTGTTAACAAATTTTTAGAAGAGTGTGATTGATTCGATTTTATGTGTTTAGCAAAACCACTGTCCAGTGGCAGAGAGGGTTAGAGGTAGGTAAACGTGACAGAGATACTGTTATGTCCATTCAATTCCAATGTGTCAGTGCTCCAGCCAAGATGCATTTATATTAAAGAGGTTATAATTTAGTAGTAGGCCGTAATACATTTTATACTTAGTCATTATGTGAACCTCTGAAAGTAAAAGGTATAGTTTTATTTTAAAAAAATGAACTAGTTCATTTCAAAAAATTTTTGAACTTCTATATATTTATTCAGATTTGTTATTAATCTCTTACAACATTTGCTTTTTCATTCTTTTCTTTTTTCTTTTTTAAACTTTTTTTCATTTCATTTTCTTCCATACATTCAATCACATTATTATTTGCCTTACAAAATGGATATTTCAACAGGTGAACATTTCTCCCTAGTACTGTTGATAAAACTACGAAATATCTTCACCATATAACACCACACCTCTTTGTGCCATTAATGCTTGCTTTTTCTTATAGGTTCTCTGTTACTTGCTATCTCCCTTTACCTTACAAACATTTCATACACACACACACACACACACACAAATATGTTTATTAATAGAAGCTTTTTTTTTTTTAATGATCCACTTGGAATAAGTTGAGAGGTGATACTTTTCCCCTAAATACTTTAATATGATTATTTTGAGATTAACAATTAATATTAATACATTAATATTATCTAACATTACAGTCCATATCTAGGATCTCTTTATTGTTCAGAAATGTTTCTATAATCTCTTTTGTTTTGACCTTAAAACATTTTAGTATCTTATCAAGGTTCACATTGTCTTTGCTAGTTACTATCTCTTTTATCTCTTTTAATTAAAGTAATGTCTCCCTCACATCTTTTTGTTTTATATTGTTTATTTCAGAAGTTCAGGCAGATTGTATTGTAGACTATTCCACATTCTAGATTTGCCTGATCTATATTAAACTACCTACATTTTTATGTTTATTTAGATAAAATGTAAAGTAGGACTATGCAATAATGAAGGTACAGTGTAGCTTTTAGAAATAATAAATGTATGTAGTCTATGTCAATAAGACATACCAGTGCAATTTCTATCAACGATACTTTCATAGTTGATCAGCCCCATATAGGTAATTTTGAAAAATTTGAGTACATTGTTTTGTGTCCCTTTAAAAAAATAGCTATTATGCAGGACAGGGAAGAATTATTTTTGTATTTTAAGAAATACTTTAAATGAGATACTTGACATGTTTCATAAATCTTAAAGGAGTAAATAATGTCAAGAATAGTTGTTTTAGACTACACAACTAGATAAAAAGGATAGATATTAAGCCTAAATTTAAGCATGAATATAGGAATTAGAATACCTAGTAAATGGGAAAGACATATTTTAGTATCTTAAAAGTTAAAAATTTGGTGTAGTTGAATATATTATAAATCTGGATAAATCAAAGCTTTTAGTTCTCTATTTGGTTTGCTGAATGTAATGAATATATGTTTAATGTGTATGATTTTTTTCTTTGTTTGATCTTACATTTTAGGATTACTAAAGTCTGGTAAGACCAATTCTGTAGAATCTCTTCCAGAACTTTTGACATCGGACTCTGAAGGAAGCTATGCAGGAGTGGGTAGTCCTAGAGATTTACAGTCCCCTGATTTTACAACAGGATTTCATTCAGACAAGATTGAGGTTCGTTGTTTAAAGGACCATTTCCTTACCTTTGATTAGGTATTATAGAAGATTAGTTTTTCATTATTTGTGCTTAACTTTAAAACACTCCTGATCGATATATAATTACACAACATATGGTGTTAGTTTCCTAAACCTGCAAGATACTTCTAATTTTAAGATTTTAATGGTAGTTTTGAACCCTTTATTACATTTTACAAATGCCAATATAAGATGTTAATGTTGTATAGACATACTGAAATATATATTGATAGCTAAATTAAGGAATTTATGTTGTGAAATATCAGTTAATACCACTTAAAAATTGTCAGAAGAGGGTCAGCTCCGTGGTACCGTAGTACTGAGCTGCTCAAGTGATACTGGATCCATGTGGAAACCACATGTCAGTCCTGGTTAGCTTGTACCCATTCGGCTCCTGAATCCATGATCTCAACTGACTGGGAAGGCCGGGGAATAATCTTGGCATGAGAACCTTTTGAGAGTGTTTGCTCTTCCTTCTCTTTCTCATGTTTTTGTTCTCCCTTTCTCTCCTGTCTCTTTCATTCTCATGAAAGAAAGTAATAAACTTTTGAAAAGATTGGGGCCAGCAGGTAGCGTGGTGCTTAAGGCACTGTACTCCCACATGGCCAGCAGTGGTTGGAGTCCCAGATTTGGCAGTTTGCTTTCTCACTATCTCTCTCTCTCTCTTTCTCTCTGTCTTTCTCTGGTAAAACTTATGTGAAAAATGAATAAACAAATAATTCTAAAAAAATTCTCAAAGGAAAATGATTTTCAAAATAAGCCTAATTTTAAATTTTGCAGTCTCTTTTTGTCACCATGGTATTAACTATAGCCAAACAACCTGGAGTGATTGAGTTCTTGGCAGTTGAAACTAAGCTTCAAGGTTCATAGTCTGGTCAATTATGGGGAGGGTATTTTTCAGCTATTTCTTGATATTTTATTCCATAGTTGTTAATTTATAGGCAAGGAAAATGTTTTAACTTATTAGAGCAATATTCTTCTGAGTACTAAACATCAACATAATATGTTGAAACTTCTAGGAATTTGTGAAACAACAGAAGGAACAATAGAAATTTACTTTTTCTTTTTAGAGTCTTCTAGGCCATTCTATGCCTCAAAGATTGGTTTGCTTATTTTTCTTTTCAGTTTAGGGCAGAAGTTTGGGATATTTTATTTGCGTACTAAGTAGGTCTGGAAGACAAGGTTTAAAGAAGGTTAAGAGAATATCGTGAATCTCTTGCAGTAATGGAAGAATGTATAGTAATTTTGATAACTTCTTTGACCTATTATAATAGCAATATTTTAGGATCCCTTTTGAAACATCAAATATATATTCAGTGGGAATTACATATTTATATCAAACTTCAAAATTAAAGATTGAGCATCCCTCATCTGAAAGTCTGAAATCAAAAAATGCCCAAAAATCTGAAACTTATGCCACAAGTGGAGACGTCCACACCTGACCTGATGTAACAGGTTGTAGTCAAAACACAAGCATACATGTACCGTTTATTCAGCATTTACAAGTCAAAAAATACCCTCCAAACCCCTTTAAGGTATGATACATCTTTGTGGCAGACAACCAGATCCGCCTAGGAAAACATACCCATGAAGAGTTTTATGCATGAAATTATTATAAATATTATGTAAAATTGCCCTTAGGCTAGTGTATTGTTATACATGAAATGTAAATGAATTTCATGTTTAGACTTGGGTTCCGTCCCCCAGATTTCTCTATGTATAGGCAGATGTCCCAAAATCTGATCTTAATAAGAATTTTAGATAGGGTTATTTATTTAGCCTATAATACTTATTATTTTATTCGTACAACTTTAATTTCTTAATTTTTTTGTTTACTACCTATGTAATAGGAATTTAATATGCACACTCGTTTCCCT